TAGTGGATTGTTGTAACTCCTTATTAATTATTGGTGAGTTACATATCAAATCAATTTATTGAAATACCCTTGTAATTAAAATGTAAACATGACATAAACCTATAAAAAGAATGAAGTTTGATTGGTTGTCATGGTTTTCAAAGTTAACACAAAATTATTGGTTAACATTTTATCTTTATATATATATATATATATATATATATAGGAGTGATCATATGAAAACCGCCTCATCTGTGTAAACCGTGCAAACCACCTTCATCTGTCGATCTCATTGTTTAATCTTATGAAATTTTTTCATGAAATTGTTTAATATTGTGAAATTGTTTCATATAATACTTTTTGTGATGAAGTTATTTCATATATGGTTGTGAAATTGGTTCATATAATACTTAATGAAACTGTTTCATGTATTTCTCTAAAATTAAAATAATGAAGATGATAATATCTATGATTAACACCCTCCACAATAAAAATGATTAATCAACCTCTCATAATTACAAAAAAATGAACAAAATGAAAAATTATGATTGGTTGAATGCGGTTTGCACGGTTTGTATAAATTGAGTGGTTTGCATTTGATCGCTCCCCTATATATATATATATACTTGGGATCATGTGAGAGCAAAAGTTTTTCGTGAGACTCGTAAGACTAATTCTTAACCCTTAAATTAGATCTACAATTTGATTGTTCATAACCACAAAATTGCCACGAGACTTCTCAATAATCACAAAATTGCCACGAGACTTCTCAGTAATTACAAAATTGTCACCATACAACTTTAGATCAATAGCTCAGTTGATCACAACAAAACACTTTGAAGATAACCTTTACAGTGTTTTTACTGTGAAAATTCGGCTTTTTTTTTACTTTCACAACATTTTGTTGTGAAGTTTCAAGTGTAAAAATCGTGTCTCACGAAAACAGTCTTGTCTCACATGAACCCAACTCTCTCTCTCTCTCTCTCTCTCTCTCTCTCATATATATATATATGCCCTAATCAAATAAGAATTGTTTTGTTTGTGGTAAACGTGAAATCAAATCTCAACCAAAAATCAAAGGTTAAATTAAAAAATCAATAATTTTGGTAATTTTAACTTAAAGTATTAATTAAAAGCATTTTAGGGATATTATAAATATCATCTCTCATCTTTTCTCTCTCCGACGAATCTTATTCAGCGAACCTTATTTCGATTAACCTTATGTGAACACAAGATGTACATTATGATATCTACAAACGATATTCACTATGATATCCATATATATATATACAAGATGCACAATGTGATACCTTTTGTAAAGCAATAAAAATAACGAAAATACACACTATGATACATATCAAAAACAAAGAAAATACATTGTGATACACGTGAAACATTGTGAACGTTATCTCTACGATACACTTTGATTCATAAACATCTTTAAAATATGATGTATATTAGGTAATTGATATACTAGGTAATTAATTTTAATTAAGTATTTCTTCCTAAAAAATTTAATTAAATATTTTGATTAATTGTCAAAAATGGAATTATCATATTACTTTTTTTAGCTTATTTAAGAAATATTCTTAAATTTCTCAATCAAGTGATTCATATTGGATCTCACGGTTATCACAAACTAATCAGTTCTCCTTTGAATGAGCCTATGCATCTGTACGTTTAGGCTTAGTATATTTGGTTGGGAGATCAATGATTTCACTAGACTAGACTAGTCATTTGAATTAGTTTATTTAATTAGGACCAGCTAGTCTATTATAATATCTCTTACAGATTGTTTAAAATAACGAATTAAAAGTTAAAAAAATTAGGGAGTTTTTTCATTTTCAACAGCTTCTTCATTTTGAAGATTATAATGTTATTTATATTATTAAAATATTCAAAATAATTCATAAAATACTATTTTTCTCTCCCATATATTTAATTTCAAGAATTCTCAATGGTAGAAATAATAAAATATCATTTCTCTTTCCTAAGTAATCATTTTGGGAGATTTCACCAAATTTGGAGATTTTCATCATCTCCGGCTTACTTTCTCCATTTTGAAGAAGGTTTCAGAGAATCTGTTAAATACAAAAATCTTCAAAATCTCCATTTTGAAGAATATATTGAAGATGCTCTTAGAACTCATTATTACACCCTATGTTTATCCATACTCTGCTAAGACTTTCGCAATACATCCCAGTATTTGCTCAGAAAAGACGAGTATGAGATACAAAATATTAAAGAATTTGCACACAGATAAGATGAATCGTAAATTAAGACACTTATACATAGACTAAAATTCTGATTCTGGAAGTTGTAATATAATCTATTTGATGATATAGATATTGTATTTCCGTAATGATGTGTCTGCTAATACTGCTATTGGGATTAGGGTGCTCATGAGTTGGTTTGAACACATTTGAACAATTCAACTCATTAATTATTGGCGGTTTGGAAATTTCCAACCCCACTCGTTCGGGTTGGTCGTGTTGTGTTTAAATAAAGCAAAATCAACAATGGGAACATAAAAAGAAAACTTCATTTGAAATATGATCAATCATTCAAATGAATATACGAGTTCATCAAATATTTAAGTATTAAATATAACTTTCCAATAATGTCCTTTTATGAGTTTAATTGCTCGTTGTCGAGTCATTTTTGGTAACATATACATATTAAATAGAACTACAAATAATTTATAGAGGCTGCTAAGACTTTCATCGGGTTATCGAGTTGTTCTAGGCCTAACCCAATTTCAATTCAATGAATTCGGTTTGCCCTAATTTTGTATCGATTATATGGCAGGTTACCTTGGGTTGATTTTTTCGAGTTGGGTTAGCCGAGTTGGTCGGGATTATATGTTTTTTCAGCACCCCTAACTGGGATGATATTTTGGGATGTTGCAAGTTTTTGTGACAACTCGTCCCATATATAGATAAAGTCTTATATTTATAAGCTACTAGAAGGGTACTCACACAATGCATCGATATACATCTCGATTTTAGTTTCATTTTTTTTGTCTTAGTCGATGTTATAATACGGTTTTACGTAGTTTTTGAGAAAACAATAATGTTTTTATTTATAAATAAAATATAAATATGAATATATCATAAAAAAAATATTGATATTAGTACCAAACTAACTATTTAAAATTTCTCAATTTTTGTGTATTTCTTTACTTCATTTTTTTTTATTTTTGGTTTAATAATATAGTTTTTATTAAATATAATAATTATATTTTGTTAAAGCTCAACGATTATCCTAATTATCTTTTAATTTTTTTATATTTAAAATGAAATGTTTATCCTCTATTTGATTATGTTTATCCAGAAAATAGTTACACGAATTCAAAAATGAAGCTTTAATAAGTTGTACTTACGTACAATTTACTTGTAATCTTGAATTTTAAGTTTTATGCATCAATAAACAGTACTTCATACATAAAAAATATTTTTTAAGAATTTCTGTCAAATGCTTTATAATATAGTATAGATTTATAATATTAAAATTTTCTTTAAAAGTTACTGAGCGAGCATCTGTCACTTTGGATTTTGGACGCATTGCTCGGTATTTAACAATCGGCATCCGTGAACCTTACAGTATTATTCTACACGACGAAAATAACATATATTTACGAATTTAATTATTTTAGAAAATGTTTATTTCCGTACGCAAAAAGTTTGTAGTCGTCTTTTTTACTATTTACTAACAACGGAATTAAAATCATAGTCGAAAACGATATCACTCATCATGTATTTGTGTGTAGAATATTTTGGGCCTTTCAACATTAGGAAATGGGCTCTTCACAAATCCAAATAACTCCCCACACTTTTCACGTTTTGTGAAGTCCAATGTTTTTGAATTTTGACAAGCAAAAATTACAAGATGAATGTTATAATATATGGAATTTTTTAATGAAAATTCTTAAATAGTATCTCGTAATAATCGTTGGAGTAAATTGCACTTTTGGTTCCCGTGGTCGAGACCAATAAACAGATCTCATCATTATCATGCTCGTGGTTGCCATTTAGTTAACGTTTTTTTAATCCCTTTGACTAACTCTTGTTATGTTTTGTTATTTGCTCAGGGGTATTTTGGTCTTTTCACATGCCTTTAACTTTTTATTAAAAAATTAAACAAGTATATGATTAAAAATTTACCATATGTACAGTATTATACATATGAACACCGTGAGCTTTTAGTGTCTTGGTGATGGTTATTCGTCACTGTGGTCGTCCTCGTCCCCTACCCATCTGGCAACATCTATAGCCCCTTGGGTTCATCCATGTGATTCGCTATGATATGGTTTTGTCGTTGTGATTTCCCCCTCCCCTACCTCTCCGATGATAGTGGTATGATTTTTTTTATTAACCTGGATATCCAACCCGCTATGCGAGCCGACTAATCCCAGGGAGACCACTTGTTTTGCAAATAGCCCGGAGTCACCGCATTTGAACATTCGTGACCACAGGAGAATTTTTATTTCTCCTTGGATTTGAACCTGAGACCTCCTGATACTTTTGACTTTTGGAGCCAAGCTCAAATCAATCAGGCACCACCCCTTGTGGTTAATAGTGGTATGATTTGGGTTGGCAATGGTGGTTTGTCACCGTAAGTTTGATTATGGATTTGAGTTTTTCACTGTAGATCTGGTTTGATTTTGGAGTTAAGGTTTTGGTTTTGAAAATAGAAAATGATAAAAAAAAAACTTAATAAAATTAGAAAATGCTTTTTTTTATAATAAAAATAGAAAAAAGACAAAAAATAGTAAAAGATCTTGACGGAATTTTTGTAACAGAAGTAAGTTAAGAGGGATCAAAAGTGTAACAAAGTGACAACCACCGGTACTACAAGTATAATATATGAAGTTGAGGGACGATACATGGTAAATGACAGGGACCAAAGTTGTAATTTACTCTAATCTTTAGAAGAAAATCACAAATGGTGTGGCTGTATGTATAAATAAACGCATATTAGATTCTCTATCCTAAGGCTCGTACAGAGACGCGATACACAAAAATTTGTTTTCCATCTTCTCCTACCTCATGGATTCTCTTCCCTCCGAAACCCTAGCTCCCACCCCCACTCCCTATGATACCTTGGATTACACCCATCCTCTTCCCGATTCTGCCTCAACACCACCACCGCCGCCACCTCCGCCTTCCGATTCCGACTACAAACCTCCTCCTCAACCACAAACCCTAGTTCAACCGGATCCCAACCCTACATCACAACCCGACACAACAGATCTCAAGTCTGAGAATGGCGCCGTCACCAGTGCTACTACGGAAAAGAATAACCCTACCGTGGAAGAAGATACAACCAGCAAGAGGCGGAGGCGGAGCAGGTGGGATCCCCCTGCCGAGGGAGATGCTGACCAGAACGGGGGTAAGAAGAGGAAGTCTCGCTGGGCGGATGACGAACCCAAACCTGTCTTTCAGTTACCGGATTTCATGAAGGATTTTACGGGAGGTATGGATATGGATCCTGAAATTCAAGCTCTTAATGCTAGGCTTATGGAAATTAGTAGAATTTTACAGTCTGGTCAACAGCTAGATGATCGTCCCGAAGGTGCTAGGTCTCCATCGCCAGACCCAATTTATGATAATATGGGAACCAGAATAAATACTCGAGAGTATAGGGCAAGGGAAAGGCTTAACAGAGAGAGACAAGAGATAATTTCACAGATTATTAAACGAAACCCTGCCTTTAAGCCCCCTGCTGATTATAGGCCTCCCAAGCTTCAGAAGAAGCTTTATATTCCTATGAAAGAATACCCTGGTTACAATTTTATTGGACTTATAATTGGCCCAAGAGGGAATACGCAGAAAAGGATGGAGAAGGAGACTGGAGCTAAAATTGTTATCCGGGGAAAAGGCTCAGTGAAAGAAGGCAGGTTCGGGCAAAAACGTGATCTAAAGTTTGATCCTTCTGAAAATGAAGATTTGCATGTTTTAGTGGAAGCAGAGACACAGGAAGGGCTTGATGCTGCCGCAGGGATGGTGGAAAAGCTATTGCACCCTGTTGACGAAGGTTTGAATGAACATAAAAGACAGCAGCTTCGGGAGCTTGCTGCTCTGAATGGGACAATAAGAGATGACGAGTATTGTAGACTGTGTGGTGAACCTGGACATCGTCAATTTGCTTGCCCATCCCGTATGTCGACTTTTAAGAGTGATGTTTTGTGTAAGATATGTGGTGATGGTGGGCACCCAACCATTGATTGTCCTGTGAAAGGGACAGCAGGAAAGAAAATGGATGATGAGTATCAGAATTTCTTGGCAGAACTTGGCGGGACCCTTCCAGAGGGCATGACTAAGCAAAGCACACCATTGCCTATCATGGGTTCTTCCAATAGTTCAGGAAACAATCCCCCATGGGCATCCAGTAACAACTCAAATGGAAATACTGGAACCTCTGCACATCCTGGACTTGGAAGCAATGCAGCAAAAATTGGAACTGGTTTTGGTCTTGGAATTGGCAAAGAAATCGATGATACAAATCTGTATATCGGGTACCTGCCTCCGACTTTGGAAGATGATGCTCTGATTAGATTATTTTCACCTTTTGGGGAAATAGTAATGGCAAAGGTGATCAAAGATAGGGTCACTGGACTTAGTAAAGGTTATGGTTTTGTAAAATATTCTGATATAGCTCAAGCAAATCAAGCAATTGCCAGCATGAATGGTTATCGTCTAGATGGAAGAGTAATTGCAGTAAGAGTTGCAGGAAAGCCACCCCAACCTACGGTACCCCCTGGTCCTCCAGCTGCACCTGTGCCAGCTTATCCTGGTGCCAACCAGACACTTGGCGGATATCCATCTCAGCAGATGGCATCAGGTGGACCCATTGGAAGTGCACCTCCTGGGAGTTATATTAGTGCCCCAGTTCCTTGGGGACCACCACCACCACCTCCTCCTTATGCTGCTTATGCTCCTCCTCCGCCCCCTCCAGGATCAAACATGTATTCTTCCTTCCAAGGCCAACAAATGCCCTCTTATGGTGTTCAGTATCCTCCCCCACCACAGAACATTGCATCCACTGAAGCTCAGCAAAGCTACTCAGCTGGAATACATTCTCAGAATAATGCCCCTGGCCAATCCCCATCTAGTAATGTTTATGGCAATTCCATGTCTGGGATAACACCGAACAATCAAAGTGCATATCCTTCACCTTCCATGAGTTACTCTTCTTATTACAGTGTACCTCCTCCTCCACCGCCTGCGACCCAGTCAGTGGTTGAGCAACAGAGTTTTGCAAGTGCACCCTGGTCTTCAAATCCTCCCCCTCCACCCGTTTCTTCTGCAGAGCAAAATCAGCAAACTGCTTATGGGACAGACCCGGAGTATGAGAAGTTTATGGCTGAGATGAAATGATGCAATTCAATGTTGGTTCTACATATGCATGAACTGTAAGTATGCACCATATTTTCACCTTTCCTTCTTGGTCATGTGTTTAGGATCAGGGTTCTAGTTAGTGATTTAAGCTTTGAGTAAATTTTTTGAGAAGGATGTTTCGTACATAGCATCAGTTCTCCTTTAGGGCTCGTTGCAGAAAAATAGACAGTTAACAATTTTAAGATATATCTTATTAGACATGATGTTAAGAAAAGTTGTATCAGATGCTTGAGGCAAGACGGAACTACCGTTCATGAATTAAGAAAATGGAGGAATTGGTGTCTTTTTTTGGTTTTGTTCGATAGTATTTTTGTGGTACAATTAAGTTGGACTTGTTAGATTTCTTAGTCACTAGTAACCAGTGTGTTCTTCTTACTACTTCTGCAGTATCACCATAAAATGTCTATTAGATTAGTTTCTTTGGGTGGGGTTTGCCGGTGGATTGAACATATTGATAGCGAACAGCTGTGTCTTTATCTGGTTGTGAAGTTTGCTATATTGCTACTTAGAAAAATAAGGTGCATGAATGATGAGCATTTCAGTGAGAAACCAAATTTTATTTGGGTTTGACCTCATTGCTACCCTTTAAATGACCTTTTGATTACGTTTGTTGCAAGCTAACAATGTGGGGGCGTTTGGTTGTGGGTATTAGGGGGTAGGGAATGGGAATGCGAAGGATTGGGGGTGCTTGGTACGGTATAATATAGCGATTCATTGCCCTATAACGGGTAATGGACCATTTCTGAGAAAATTTGGGGGAGGGATGAGAGTAAGGAATGGGAGACCACGTCTCACAGCACGCTTATCAAATAAAAACCTTTCCCCTTTTAAAACTGCCCCACCCTCTGCTCGGTGAACTACCTCACACTTTTGCCTATCCATGGCTTCGTCGCCCTATGCCATAACTCCCCTGTGCAAGGTTTTGTTGAAAATACCACTTGTAGATCTCAGTTTTATGCCTAAGAACTCGATTAGTTGTGTGACAGTTTCTTGTTTCTCATCATCACCAATCTATGCTTTAAGTTTATTATAAAATGGAAGAAGAATATATAGAGGAGCATTGTGCAACGACCATTCTCATCCCCCAGTATCAACCAAACAACATCATGGTTACTGTGTTCAGCGATTTTTATGTTAGTGCTACTTATGTACCTTATTGACTATTTCTTGCAAGTTAAGAATGGATATTGTATATGGATGCTAATTCATCTTTCACTCTGATGTCAGATTTTCTTAACAACATATTTTACAGCTACAGTTCTCCTGAAAACCAGAAGCCAGGCAAATGGCGTAGATAACAATTTTTGGCATTTGTGGCTGTATTAAATCTTCTGCAAAAAGACTCGTTGAATTGGAAAACAGAATAACATTTTTAAATTACAAAAGAAGTTATCTGTTGTTTTATCACATGAGTTCTAGTTTTGGACCTTGCCCACATTCGCTTTCTAAATTGTCAATACATGATGCTAAAGCTTATTTGGATTTGACATGTTTCTTAACACTTTACATTTGTCCTTGGATACGGGAGAAGAGAAATTATCATGTGTGACCTGTTTGTTCCCATTTAGTGACAGAATATGGGTAATTTCACACAAACTATGATTGGCTGTAATTGAGCTACTTATGGGTGTTTATTTGTCATTAGTCTTTATATGTAATATTTACTGTTGGGAGGGGGGGGGTTGTTGCTTGGATGCACATTGAAACTTATTATTGCAATTTGAAGTCTCAATAATCAGTTTTGGGAGTTTAAATTGGATAAATGATTCTGATTATTTAAGGTCACAGTTATCATATTTGGATAAGTTGTGGCTGTAAGAAAAACTGATTATCAAGATAAATGTAAAATTATCTAACTATCCTGGGCTTTTAGTAACTGATTATATTCTGATTCTTCAAGTTGCAATAATCATCTTGAAATCACACATCCAAACTTTCCCTAATTTTATCAAACGAATTCCTTATTTTTTTTGGTATGTACATTCGTTATTTTTTTGGGTATGTACATTTGGTATAGTTTGCAACTATTTTGTTTTTGTTGCTTCACCATCTGCCTGTGGGTGCATACATTGTTGGAACTTGCACATGCATTATCTGGAATGCACCCTTCACGTTGTTTTCTCTTCTTTGGTGTACTTTTAGAACCTTGCTCGTGTTTGATAATTTGCTGCTTGAAAAGATAAATCTATGTTGTACACCTGTAAATACTTGAAACATGTGTACAATCTTATGGGAGACATGGTGCATAACACTACCATTCTTGACTGGGAAATGCAAACTATGGTTCTTCTCTGGGTGTCCTACAACTCTAGCAAAGTGTCCCTTATAAAAGGCAATAGGGACTTGGTTCTCATCGTTTGGCAATTATACTAGGATTTACTTTATTCTTAATGCATGCATGCTGGTTGAGGCTGTATAGATGCTTATATATTTTCTATAATGATAAATCTCACTAACTTTCAGATGCCATGACATGATGTACTTAGTTGATAACCTATCTTGTGTATGCTTATATTCTTTGGCAGGCTTGATGTTTCTTGGAGCTCTTATCAACCTATTTTCTTTCGTCTTGCTTACCTCAACTTGTTGGAAGTTTCGGACTTACATCTTTACTCTTGCTGTGCTGTTGTAACAATTGCAGAAAGTTATTAGTCAACTCCAATTCATTTCTCACACAATCAGGCAAGCTATTCAAGGGCTTTTTTCAGAATGCGGTGGTACTACAGTTTGTGGGCTGGTATTGCTGTCATGAATTGCTGTTCTCTTGCTTGCTGGAATCCTTGGGCTAATAATATTTGACATTGGCTTTATTTGAACTTGTTACAGCAATGTTTTACTAATGTTTTTTCCCTGCTGCTACTGCTTATGAATTTTGGTTGTGATAAATTCTGTCACCCTTGCATGTTCTTTGTGATTTAGCATATACTCTGAATGATATGGACATGTTTCCTGGTTGACATGCCATCTAATCTGCAGAGTGGAGGGGTTATATTTGGGAATCATGGGGTATGTGCAGGCATGAGATTTTGGATGATCTGTAAATTGTTGGGCGTGTGCAGGTGATTTTGGATGCCACTGGTTTTACTATGTGACAGTGAAATCTCCCTGTATTACATGCTCCTCATGGTGCCTGACTTTTCTTGTGTTTGCATCTAACTTGTAACAAAGTTGGCTGTTGTGGTTCATGTTAGGGTACCTCTCCTCAATGAGTAGCTTCTGATGAAATTGAGTTCCTGGATTCGTACTTAACTTCTCTGAAAGTGCCAGGTATTATATCGTTCATGATCTCTCTCTGGGAAACTTTAAGGATGTAGCTTGTAATTCTAATTCTTGTGGCAGGCACATAACGTATCCTGTGCCCTGCGACTTAAATGGTTGTTTGAGTAATGTTCTTGTTTGCACCAGTATGTGATAATGATAATAAGGTACCTGAGGGAGCTGAAATGCATTTTTGAGGAGTGTTATCCACATGTTAGTAAGGTTGCTTATGATAGATGTTATGAAATCATTGCAACTTGACACGTCTTTTCTTTTTGAAGGTTTAGTATGGCCATATATGTTGTCCGGTCTATCCTTTTCTTCATTTGCTGTGCATTTGCTCTTACAAATAAAGGGTTTAGTTAAAATCCTGCATCCATTCAACTATTTGTGCAAATAAAGGGTGTTTTTTGTTTGAGCATGCACTCAAACCTACAAACAAGAATTTGATTCCTCATTTGCATATACTTGATATCATATCATTATTTTGAGGAACAAGAAAAGGGAAATCTTTCTTGGTTGGATTGATTACAAGTTGCATGGAATCCATTTGTGTATGGTTTTTGAAATTAGGCAAGTTATTATTAAGTCATAATAAGAGGGGCATATGACATATTTTCGAAGTGTTATGGTAATTTAGTTTGTCTTTGTGTACTGTGTTCTCTTGAGAAGGTACTGCTGTCTGCTAATAATTGTATTGAGTTGCATAATGCTAATAATATTTTTGTTCATGGTGTCTTGGAAGGAATAGGGGGGCGGGCAAGACCGAGCCTCGAAGAATTAGTTAGCTTTGCTTTTTTAGTCGTAGACAAGGGGAGATATGATTATTCCAAACAGATGATTAGTTTAGTTTCTGAATCTTGATTTTGTATGTTACTACTACTACTACAACCAAATGACCAATCATATGTTCCATATTTTTGTCCATTATTCACACACGCTTCTTTCTAATACATAATTTCCAATTCAAATGAAAGATAGATTACCATAATAACATCCCCAAGGGAAATTGGGGGATTATAGGGATAGCCAAAATGGGTTATCGGCCAGGCCTATCGGAAATTGGCCCCTTCAAAATCGTGCCAACTTGGTCCCAGCCCTTGTAGTTTACACAAAAATGTTATACATGATTTTACAATTAAGATTTATAAAAATTAACATTTAATATGTTAACTTATCTGTTTATGGGGCTGTTCGGTTTGTTTTCTGTTAAGACTTGTATGGATATGGTTGTTTGTATTGATATGGTTGTTTGTATATTAACAGATTAAGTTGTTCGGTTGTTGTGTTGAATAAACAGTTTGAATGTCAGAAATGACTATTTTACCCACAACTACTCAAATACTAAATGTCTAGAAATACCTCGTTGTTGCCACTGCTTGGGTCTTAGGCGAACAACGGTCATCGGTGGTGGCGTTTAGGCGACGATGTTTGCTGTTGCTAGGAGGGTGAAGGGGACGGCCGACGAGAGGGGTCTGAAAATTGAAATCGATGCTCCTGTGTTTCGTTTGACTGATGAGTTTGAAAATGTACGGGTGGTTGTGGTGTTGGTGGTCGGAGGCGGAGGGAGTTGGGACTCGTTATAGGGAATGGATTGTTGAATAAGGTGAGGTTGACGATGAATGGTGCAATTTTTGGGGAAAAGAGGGAAATGGTAGATTTGGAATAAATGGTTGAATAAGTGGCTGACCGGTTAAGTCATTGGCTGACCGAATAAGCTAGAAGCGAACAACAATATATGGCTGACTGAATAAGCCATACAGGCTTAACAACCTATTAAGCCATTACCTTATGTAAACAAATATAAATTTTGAAGAAAGATTTAACTTTGGAAATATGTAATTTATTATTGTCTCTCATATAATAAAACTTGTTGGAGCTTTTTGAGTTGGAACATGTACAATAATCGGTGTAGATGATTCTTATATCCACTTTATACAAATAAACAAATGCTCATTAAAACATTATGGAGGGGTTTGGTTCGTATAATGAAATTTGATGGAATTGGAATTCATCAAATGAATTTGACTTTGAGGGAATGAAATGAAATTTGACCTATGTCTTTTGATTGCGTTTGGTTGGATGGAATTGGAATGAAATTCTTAACGGAATTGGAATTTTTTTTGTTTCGTTCACGGAATTCAACGAGAAAATTACATAGATGACATTTCGAGAAAATCCTTTTTAGGATGGAAAGAACGAAAGAGAGAGAGAAAGAGAGCATACCAGATCGAGCAGTTTTGAATAGGGATGGCAAAAAAAAAAAAAAACCGATGGTGAAAACCGAAAACCGAAACTTTCAGCCCGGGTTCGGGGACATCTTATCGAGGACGGGGCGGGGACGGGGACAAATTCGGGGATTTTAACGGGGGCGGGGACGGTGATCATGAGCCTGGTCCTGCCTGATATGTGTATATATATTAGTTTTAATTTATATACATACATACATAGGGGTGAGTTCAAATAAAAACCACTCAATTTGTAAAAATCGTGAAAACCTCATTTAACCATTCATAATTTTTTATTTTGTTCATTTTTTTGTAATTATGAGAGGTTGATTAACCATTTTTATTGTGGAGGGTGTTAATCATGGATATTATCTTCTTCATTAATTTAATTTTAGAGAAATAAATGAAACTGTTTCATTAAAATTT